TCCCTCCCTCCTCCTCCCCCCTGTTGAACTGCAGCTCTTGTTGATCCAACCACAGAGTGAAAACAGTAGTGAGAAATCTCAAAGATCATCAGCGAAGACGGACACGAGGAGGTCAGGGGGACTCACCCGTGTCCAACATGAGGGTCAGTCCCTGGAAACGGACGTCATTTGACACAAACAACGGTAGTGTTTGAAAACTGAACAACAATTACATTTGAACAAAGACAAAATATATATAAATATAGATAAATATATTAAATAAATATAAATATATTGTTATTATTGCACTTTTTTATAGAACATTATTTTATGTTTTAAAGCAATTATTTTGGCAACAAACGAAGCATCAAATTCATTATTTACATGAATATAAATATATATATTACATAATATATTCCTCAAATAAACTCTGATCTAATTTTTTTTTTTAAATAATTATTTTTTTAAACTCTTTTTAACAACTTGTTTTCAGCAGAGAATTTAAACATTTAGCCCAGTAGTGTCAAACCTCTGGCCCGTGGTCCACTTCTGGCCCACAAAGCTCTCACTGCAGGGCCGTAATTAGATGTCAAATATAGTTTTGTCCTTGTATTTTTTTTTTTTAGTAATTGAAGTGCTTTAAATATTTTTTACTCATTAACATACTAACTACTACTAACTAGTATTTGCAGTACAGCGTTAAAAGTATTTACATGTAGTAAAAACTTTTCCGTTGACTTGAACAAATTAAACTGAAACATATTCACGTTGATTAAAGTGAAATGAAACTTCAGCTGTGACACAAACTGGGCCATGAATCCACAGAAACCAGCAGACCACCCCCCCCCCCCCCCCCCCCCCCCCCCCCCCCACTGCACCCCCCACTAATGACTGTTGGTCACCAAATTACTGAGGTCATTAAAGGTCGTTACAGTCCTGATAACAGAAGAGTCACATGTACCTCCAACAGCCATGAAAGTACTTCACATGTTCAAACGCCAGTGTTTTTATGTGTACTCAGTTAGTAGTAGTAGTAGTGGTAGTAGTAGTAGTAGTAGTAGTAGTAGTAGTAGTAGTAGTAGTAGTAGTAGTAGTAGTAGTAGTAGTAGTAGTAGTAGTAGTAGTAGTAGTAGTAGTAGTAGTAGTAGTAGTAGTAGTAGTAGTAGTGGGGAGGGGGGAGGGAAGGTGAGACTTACGCCCATATGTTGATTGGTGGTCGACGTGTTTGAAGACGAGGCTTAAAACACGAGCAGGAAACTTTGACATGAACGAAAGAAAACAGAATAAAATAAAATAAAATAGAATAAAATAAAATAGATCAGATCAGATCCGCCCGTGTGACGTCAGGACGCAGATCAGATCAGATCAGATCAGATCCGTCCGTGTGACGTCAGGATTTCATCAATGATTATTTCTGTCTGATAATCAGCCCCACCCTACGTTTACATTCTATTTTTTAAATGTCTAACGTGTGATTATTTCTGTGCCAGAGTTTTGTTTTTTTTGTTTCGTTTTGTGAACCCTGAAGGCCTCTGTGCCCATGTGACACGTCTCCAGCCAATGGTGAGAGACACAGACGATGTTTGTCTCAGAACAGAAGAAGAAAGAAAAAAATTCAAAGATTTACATTTAGATTCATTTCAGTTGCAATCGTACGGTTTTTCTTTGACAAAGAAAAGTAAACAAAGAAAAAACCCTGACACACACACACACACACACACGCACACACACGCACACACACACACACGTTGTGATGGTGTCGGTTCTGCGGTCGTGTTAATGGGACTGTGAGACCAGACACCACTGAGGTTTTGGGCAAATGGACGAGTCTGATCAGGAGTGGACGTGGGTCAACGAGAGGGTGTGAAGACGGACGCCGTCCACACACGGGGTGTGTGTGTGTGTGTGCGTGTGTGTGTGAGAACACAGACAGCAGTGGTTCTGTGTGGACGTTGACACCTCGTCCCGGGCCTGTGTTGACAGAGCTGTCTGAGGAGGACAGACCGACGGCTCACACCGGGTCTGGACCCACATGACG